ATATAAAACAGCTGGAGGGGATCCTACACCAAGTGTGTTTAATGAGCGATAGGACGTTGTTGGGCCTCAACCACACTGGAGGTTTTTAATTGCTTAAGATAAAAAAGGATACTGAAAGCGAAACTTTAGGCACATGCAACAAAAAAAACACCATTTGTCCATTAGAAAAAAAGTATTAAATGTACTTTTAAAGTAGACTGAACTATAAAAAGTGAAGCTTTACTATCCTATAGGGAATAACTAGAAATGTTGGTTGTGAAAAAAAAAGACCTTTTGTTTTGAATTGCTGAATTGCTCCATTTCCTGTGCCTAGGCACTCCTGTGCTGTAGCCTTGTATCTGCAGTTTGAGATCATCTAAGGCACTATTGTCTCTGACTGCTAGTCTCACCAGATTTAGAGTGAGTTTTGGTGATATCACTACTGTTCTCATCACTGTTCTTTTTGCTGGAGGGGAAGCTGTATCTGAGAACCTGTAGTGCAAGGGTCTCCCTGCTTCTTTTCTTCTTCATCCAAAAACAGAATCACTAAATTGGAAATAGGATCACCCCCCCCCCCTCCCAAAAATGACTTGTAAACTCAATCAGGTATAGCTAATCACCTTCTCAATGGCACACAAAGCCATTTGACTTTTGACTGTGATCAGCTGTGGTCATTTTGATTGGCTCAGCATGAAGAGAGCTTTCCTGGAGCATTTCAGTCCCTGGTAGAGCAGCTGATGCCAACAATCAGCTATGGGTGGCCAGGCACTGTCCAAAGATCTCAGATAATTGTGGACAAGCACAAGTCAGGAGATGGATACAAAACAGTGTCAAAGACTTTCTCAAAGTCTAGAAACACAGTGATGTCTATTATCAAGAAGTGGAAGGTATTTGGTACAACACAGACCCTCCCTGGATCAGGACGTCTCTTCAAACTGGATGATAGAGCCAGGAGGGAACTGGTCTGAGAGGTGACCAAGTGGCTTATAGCGACTATGAAGCCTTGTCAGGAATTGGTGACAAAGAGCAGTCATCGTATGCATGTGACAACAATATCATAAATTCTCTACAAATGTGGTTTGTATGGGAGGGGTGCAAGAAAAAAGTTGCTCCTCAAGAAGACCACAAGCAGCCATCACTGAGCTTTGCCAAAACGCACCATGAAGATTCTGAGGCTGCATGGAAGAAGAGGTTCTGGTCAGATGAGACTAAAATTGAATGGTTTGGCCTCAACACAAAACGATATGTCTGGTGGAAACCCAATACAGCTCACCAGTCAAAAACCACCATTCCTACAGTAAAACATGGAGGGGGAATGTCCTATTATGGGGCTTTCTGGGCAGCAGGGACTGGAGCACTTGTCAGGATAGAAGGAAAAATGGACGGGGCAAAATCCCGTCACATTCTGGAGGAAAATCTGCTGCCCTCTGCCAGAAGGTTGTCAATGGGAAGAATGTTTACCAACATGACAAAGAGTGGTCATTGTTTGCATGTCGCAACAATATCACAAATTTCCCACAAATGTGGCTTGTATGGGAGGGGTGCAAGAAAAAAGCCGCTCCTCAAGGAAGACCACATGCAGCCATCACTGAGCTTTGCCAAAACGCACCTTGAAGATTTTGAGGCCACATGAAAAAAGGGGTTCTGGTCAAATGAGACTAAAATTGAACGGTTTGACCTCAACACCAAACAATATGTCTGGTGGAAACCCAATCCAGCTCACCATCCAAATACCACCATTCCTACAGTAAAGCATGGAGGGGGGAATGTCATGTTATGGAACTTTCTTGGCAGTAGGGACTGGAGCACTTATCAGGACCAGGGGCGGACTGACAACTCATGGGGCCCCCGGGAAATTGGGGATCATGGGGCCCCTGTGTCCTTGCTCAAACCCAAAAAAGCCTATGAAAAAGGTACCAGAGGCATCTCATGGGGCCCCCTACTGACCCTGGGCCCTCGGGCAGTGCTGAGTTTCCAGATGGTCAGTCCGCCCCTGGTCAGGACAGAAGGAAAAATGGACGGGGCAAAATCCTGTCACATTCTGGAGGAAAATCTGCCAGAAAGTTGTCAATGGGAAAGGTTGACCTTCCAACATGACAATGAGTCAAAGCACACAGCAACAATGAGCCCACAGTGGTTGAAGGAGAAGAAGGTGAATGTCCTTGCATGGCCTAGTCAGAGCCCAGACCTGAACCCCATTGGAAATCTGTGGAATGACTTGAAGACTGGAGCCCTTTAACGATCACCATCAAATTCAACTGAACTTGAGCAGTTCTGCAAAGAAGAGCAAATATTGCAAAGTCTGGATGTGCGAAGTTAGTGGAGACATCCCAACAGACTAAAGGCTGGAATGAAAGCAAAAAGTGTGTAGAGCTATCCTCGTGGGGGTTGCTGTGTTTCTAGGTACCCCTAGGCTTTGCACAGCCAGGCAACACGCATTTTCCACACTTTCATCCACAGTCTGTGAGCCTGGTTTTTGGTATTTTATTATGGGAAATAAATTGGATGGGGTAATCGAGATTATGGGATGCCCAAATTAGCTGAATCAATGCACGGGGACAACTTCTTTCCTCTATACAGAAACAGTTTAGGCCATACTGCTGAATTGATCCTCCTGAGTCAGCCCAGCCTGCAGGCCAGCACCCCCCTAGATCTAGGGGCCCCTTCCCATTCTATGCATGAAGATAAAAAAACTGTCAGTGTGCAGCTCCTCCCAGCCCCCCCGATCCTGATTCAGCACTGTGCATGAAAGCCCAGCCTCTCCCAGGTCTCTCACCCTCCTCATTGGCTGAGACACGACAGCGGGAGCCATTGGCTGTCAATCACAGCCAGTGAGGAGGGGAGTGAGGGGCGGGACTGAACCACATTCTGTGTGTCCCATAGACACACGGAGGCGGTTCAAGAGTGAGCATGCACAAGTGCCCCTGAAGTAAGCAGTTTGCTCTGGAGGCACTCAGCGCAAGGGGGGGGGGGGGGGGGTCAGAAGTACCGGTGAACCGAGAAGAGGAAAATCCATTACACAGAGCAGGTAAGTATGACATGTTTGCTATTTTAAAGAAAATACAAAATCAAACCTTTATAACCACTTTAGAGCTTGAAATGTTGGGTATCTATTTACATGGTGCAACCTCAACTTTTATACGTTACCATAAATAATAAATATAAAAAAATAAAATAAAGAAAAAATACCTAGATCAAGGTTTGATCTAGTTCAGTGTCAGGGTAAGTGTTCGGGTCATTGTATCTCTCTAACTCCTGGCATAGAGGGGAAAAAAATGTTTAAAAAAAAAAAAGAAAGATAAATAAATATTAAAAAATAAAATAAAGAAAAAAATACCTAGATCAAAGTTTGATCTAATTCAGTGCCAGGGTAAGTGTTTGAGTCATTGTATCTCTCTAACATAGAGGGGAAAAAAATGTTTTTTTTAAAAAAAAAGATAAATAAATATAAAAAAATAAAATAATAAAATAAAGAAAAAATACCTAGATCAAGGTTTGATCTACTTCAGTGCCAGGGTAAGTGTTTGGGTCATAGTATCTCTCTAACCCCTGGCATAGAGGGAAAAAAATGTTTTTGTTTTTTTTTTTTTTAAAAAAAAAAGATAAATAAATATTAAAAAATAAAAATAAGAAAAAATACCTAGATCAAGGTTTGATCTAATTCAGTGCCAGGGTAAGTGTTTGGGTCAAGGTTGGGGTCAAAGGTCAGGATTAAAAAAAAAAATTGGTGTCAGTGTGTTTTAGGTAAAAAAACAAAAAAACAAAATGCGCACTATTGTTTCTGGGCTGTACTACGGGTACAAACAACAAATAACATACACATATATGGTATCGCTGCGATCGTCAGGAGATGGAAAATTTATTTTGGGTTGTTTTTTGATGTTAGATTATGGTACTAACAAGAAACATACAGCTAAATGAAAAAAAATATTATTTTTTTCTATTTTGGCACAGTTTTCCTTTGATAAAAAAAAAATCAGGAGATATCCATTACACACCGGAAGTGGACGTTCCGCCATCTTGGATAGGTGATTCAATGCATTCTAATGCAGTTTCATTTATAAAAACTACACACAAAGAGTCCATGATCCTGTAGTGTCCCAGGGAGACACATATAAATGTGAGTGGTTGATTTTAGAGTTTTAATAAAAGTTGTTATTGGTTTGATATACTTCGCCATCTGGAGCATTTTTTCCATTTCTGTGGTGCGTTTTGGAGTTTGGAGGTGCATGAGGAATTGGAAATATTACACACCAGCGAAACCACCTGGGTTAAAGGGAAAGGTGCGCTTTTGACTTGAGGGTTTGGGACAACTTCCAAGAAGTGCATTTTGGAGTGTGAAGGTGCAGGAGAAGTTGGAGAGTGATACATCAGCATACCCGCCCGGGTTGAAGAGAAAGGCGTTGTTTGACCTGACGGTTCAGGTCAATACACAAGGTGAGCGCATAAGTGTGTCGGAAGATATAACACTGGGGTCACAAGAAATCCCTGGATGTATATATATTGAGGAGAGATTGCACATTATCACCTGGAGCACTGAGTCTTAACCTCCCTGGCGGTATGATTATTTCAGGTTTTTGGGTGCTGAAAGCGGTACCATTATTTTGCATGGAAATATGTAGTTTTTTATTGTAGGCTGTAATTTTTAGGAATAACTCACTGAAATCTGTCCGAACAAGAGTCTAGTAAACATCCCGGGTATGATAACATTTGAAACACGAAATCATAAATTATAATTTAATAAATAATCATAAAAAATAATATAATAATAATACATTTAATTCAATAATATAATCAAACCAAAAACACTGAAATGTGAAATATAGCGCCAAGTTCGCACATCGCTGAGCAAAGTCGCAGAATCGTTTTCAGTGTCTGATGACGAATTTCCCCACGAATCATTATCACTCAATTCTGCAAGTGGTTCTGATTTACTATCGCTGTTCTCTAGCTGGTCTAAACCCACTTTTGACCTAAAGGGACACTTTTTGGACGCCATGGACATTTCTCAGTTTCCAAGCAGAAAGAACAGTAAAAATGCAGGCAGGGCACAGGACAAAGCACTCGGGACAAAATGTATGTGAAATGGTTTGAAACAGCAATGTTTTACTATGTAAAACTTGTTTTGAAAAAAATGACATTTTTTAAAATTTTCAAATTTCCCGCTGCCGGCCGCGCCCGTACGTCCCGACGTCACAGGGACCGGAACACAGAAGCCGGATGCCGGCATTGGCCGGAGGAGATGGCCGGGGACGCTGCAGGGGACACATCGCGGGAGCGAAGGACAAGGTAAGCTCTGCAGGGACTCCCTATGCAACACCGCATGGTAAGCCCGAGTGTAGCTCGAGGTTACCGCTTTTTGGTACTGACATTTTACCCCGAGCTACACTCGGGAATACCGCCAGGGAGGTTAAAGGAACGGTTGAGTAAGAAGTATTCATTTATATTGGGACATTGTTAATATATAAATGAAGGTATGATTATCTTTCAGCAATATCTTGTATTACATTCTGTATGAATTCACTTAGTCCTATTATATCCATTTGGTTCTGACCCAGAGACAAATTATCCGCTGTCTTTGTGTATATATATATATCACTGCTGTCTTAGCCAATAGGCTTTCTCGGTTTCTCTTTGTGTTACTGTTAGGCACTCCATTTAATGTGTGTTCTGTTTTGAAGGCGCATCCCCCGGGTTATGAGATGGACTCCAATAAATGTCTTCTAAGCATCGCTTTCATTTTGCTGTTGGTGATTTTATAGCGATAGAGACAAACGCGGGATAAATGAATCATCTCAAATCTTTCATATTAGATTATAAGGCTGCGGAGGGAATGATCTGTCATTCCATATCCCAGAGCCATCAGGACTCCGAATCTCCAACAGTTCATCCAATTCTGATGCTGTGACATACACCTCCTGCGCTGTTCCGGATGGCGTTCCAATGAGGTTATCAAGTGCTAAGATTGGATATATTATAGTGGGATCTGTAACTGCTGGCTTACTGACAATTTGTCTTGTTGTCTCAAATGTCACAGGACATTATTACAGGGGAACTGTCTTTTTTTTTTTTTTAAGTTCAACTTTGGTGTAAACTTTTGCTTCTTAAAAAGGCTCCCTTAAATCTGGAGCAGTCCCCTGCAGTACCTTTTCTTCACCATAAGATGTCCTCGGTTTTCCAGGTTGATTGATCCCTGGGTTCGTTCAACCAGAAGACTGAGCACATACAGTGAGTGCAGGGTGTCATTACCCAGCCCTCTGTGGGTGCCTCATCACAGCACCCTGCTTTAGTCAGGTCCAAAGCAAAGTAGAAATGGAGCTGTCACCTGCCTTACCTTTTCTTCACCACAAGATGTCCTTGGTTTTCCAGGTTGATTGATCCATGGGGTTGCTCAACCAGAAGACTGAGCATGTACAGTGAGTGCAGGGCGTCATTACCCAGCCCTCTGTGGGTGCCTCATCACAGCATTCTGTTTTAGTCAGGCCCAAAGCAAAGTAGAAATGGAGCTGTCAACTGCCGTACTTTTCTTCACCACAAGATGTTCAGTCTTCCATGTCTTAACCAGAAGACTGAGCACATACAGTGAGTGCAGGGTGTCATTACCCAGCCCACTGTGGGTGCCTCATCACAAAGCAAAGTAGAAATGGAGCTGTCACCTGCCTTACCTTTTCTTCACCACAATATGTCCTTGGTTTTCCAGGTTGATTGATCCGTGGGGTTGCTCAACCAGAAGACTGAGCACGTACAGTGAGGGCAGGGCGTCATTACCCAGCCCTCTGTGGGTTCCTCATCACAGCATTTTGTTTTAGTCAGGCCCAAAGCAAAGTAGAAATGGAGTTGTCACCTGCCGTACCTTTTCTTCACCACAAGATGTCCTCGGTCTTCCAGGTTGATTGATTTGTGGGGTAGCTCATCCAGAAGACTGAGCACATACAGTGAGTGCAGGGTGTCATTACCCAGCCCTCTGTGGGTGCCTTATCAAAGCAGCCTGCTTTAGTCAGGTCCAAGCAAAGTAGAAATGGAGCTGTCACCTGCCGTACCTTTTCTTCACCACAAGATGTCCTCGGTCTTCCAGGTTGATTGATCCCTGGGTTCGCTCAACCAGAAGACTGAGCACATACAGTGAGTGCAGGGTGTCATTACCCAGCCCTCTGTGGGTGCCTCATCACAAAGCAAAGTAGAAATGGAGCTGTCAGTTGCCGTACCTTTTCTTCATCACAAGATGTCCTCGGTCTTCCAGGTTGATTGATTTGTGGGGTAGCTCATCCAGAAGACTGATCACATACAGTGATTGCAGGGTGTCATTACCCAGCCCTTTGTGGGTGCCTCATCACAGCATTCTGTTGTAATCAGGCCCAAAGCAAAGTAGAAATGGAGCTGTCACCTGTTGTACCTATTCTTCACCACAAGATGTCCTCGGTATTCCAGGTTGATTGATTTGTGGGGTAGCTCATCCAGAAGACTGACCACATACAGTGAGTGCAGGGTGTCATTACCCAGCCCTCTGTGGGTTCCTCATCAAAGCATTCTGTTTTAGTCAGGCCCAAAGCAAAGTAGAAATGGAGTTGTCACCTGTTGTACCTATTCTTCACCACAAGATGTCCTCGGTATTCCAGGTTGATTGATTTGTGGGGTCGCTCAACCAGAAGACTGAGCAGGTACAGTGAGTGCAGGGTGTCATTACCCAGCCCTCTGTGGGTGCCTCATCACAAAGCAAAGTAAAAATGGAGCTGTCACCTGCCGTACCTTTTCTTCACCACAAGATGTTCAGTCTTCCGTGTCTTAACCAGAAGACTGAGCACATACAGTGAGTGCAGGTTGTCATGGCCTCTCTCTGAGGGTGCTTCACAACAGCAACCTACATCACAAAGGACTGCCAAGCCCATAAAAAAAGAGGAAAATGACCTGGCCCGAAGATTTTGTAAAAGGTAAGTACTAAAAACAAAAAAATCAGAAGATACTACCAGTTGGGGCCACAATGGAATTCACCCTAAAAGTAAAAATGGCCCACAGACCCCAAATGTGCTCCAAAATACATAGCAGACCTCAAAGAATGCAGGCCATAGACGGGTCGAAAATTGGCCGATTTTTGGGCCGAAAAAAAAAATTGACCGATTTTCGCACCGTTAGTGGGTTAATTGGTCGGTCGTTTTTCAGGGTTTTGGCACAGTTTTTTATTGGTAAAGTTGGAAAATTTGCGACTGATTTTGACGATCGCCAGATTTTCCTGGCAATGATGGGCAAATCGGCCAATCATTTTACCAATAAAAAATCTGCGCATGAGCCGTGACCTGCAAGAAGAAGAAAAAGAAGAAGTAGAAGAAAAGAAGAAGTAGAAAAAGAAGAAAAAAAGAAGTAGCAGAAAAAGAAGAGAAGAAAAAGAAGAGAGAAGAAAAAGAAGAGAAGAAGAAAGAAGAAGAAAAAGAAGAAAAAGAAAAAGAAGAAGAAAAAGAAAAAGAAGAAGAAGAAGAGGAAGAAGAAGAATTCCAGTCCGCTATTATATTTGACATGAAAAAGTATTGCGGTTGCAACAATGTATCTATTTGTATCTGAATAAAAACATCTGTATCCGAAATGGATACAAATGGATACATTGTTGCAACCACAATACTTTTTCATGTCAAATATAATAGCGGAGCTCTCTGCAAGGGACAAAAGTAATTAAATGCCGGCCGTAGACGGGATGAAAATCGGGCGACTTTTTTTTACCATTGGTGGTAAAGGCAGCCGATCGAACGACCAATTTTTCTTTTTTTTATAAAAAAACGACCGGTTTTCGACCCATCTATGGCCTGCAGAAGGGTCTGTTATGTATTTTTGGGGAACAAAGGAAGGATCTGTGTTTTTTTTGTTAAAGAGGTCGGTAATGGAGTTTTAGGCCTCATTCACACTTGATTTTGCCACGATTGTCCAATCGCGAAGTGTAAATGGGGTCTTATTTGCCAGCAATTTAAACAACACCTTTTTTTCTTTGTAAATGTCAGTTTTGTGGCTGAGTCCCCCTCAAAATTCACATCAGACCCTTTGACCAGAATACCCCTGACTAAGCACCTTGTTGAATGGACAAGGACCTCATCTCCAGCCCAACCCTTGCCCAATGGTTGTGGGGGTCTGAGGGCAGACCCAGATACTGCCTCACCCCCTGCATGGATGAGTATGGGGTACATAGTATACATAGTAATAAAGACATTTTTTACAAAAAATTTGTAAACGCTATAACTTTCACGCAAACCAGTTCATTTACACATCTTGGGATTTTTTTTTTTTTAGCAAAGACATAGCGCAGAATACATTTTGACCTAAATTTATGACAAAATTTTATTTTTACATTTTTTTTACTGGTAGCAAAAAGTCTTTCTTTTTTTCAAAATTGTAGTGCAAAAAATAAAAAACACACAGTTCCTCCCCAGTGTCAGAATGCCCGCCGCAGTCTCACTATAAGTCGTTGCTCGCTGCCATCACTAGTGTAATATTTAAAAAAAATTAAAAATCCAGTATTTATACCGCCATTTGTAAACGCTATAACTGTCACATAAAACAATTAATTTACACGTATTGGTATTTTTTTTTTGTTTAGCAAAGACATGTCGCAGAATACATTTTGGCCTAAATTTATGATGAAATTTGATTTTTTTTTATTTTTTTACTGGACATGTTTAATAGCAAAAAGTCCAAAATATAGTTTTTTTTCTCAAAATTGTAGTGGAAAAAATAAAAAAAAAGCACAGTTTCCCCTCAGTGTCAGAATGCTCACCGCAGTCCTGCTATAAGTTGCTGATCTCTGCCATCACTAGTATAAAATAAAAAAAGTATTAAATAATCCAGTATCTATGCCACCATTTGTAGACGGTATAACTTCCACATAAACCAATTAATTTCCACATATTGGGATTTTTTTTTTTAGCAAAGACATGTCGCAGAATACATTTTGGCCTAAATTTATGATGAAATTTGATTTTTTAAATTTTTTTACTGGACATGTTTAATAGCAAAAAGTCCAAAATATATTTTTTTTTTTCTCAAAATTGTTGTTTTTTTTTAGTTTATAGCACAAAAAATACAAAACGCAGAAATTATCAAATACCACTGAAAGAAAGCTCAATTTGTGGGGAAAAAAGGGACGTAAATTTAATTTGGGTGCAGCGTTGCACGACCGAGCAATTGTCAGTTAAAGTAAATTGTTTTTTATTTTTCAAAATTGTTGGTCTTTTTTTTTATAGTGAAAAAATTAAAAATGCAGAGATGATCAAATGCCACCGAAAGAAAGCTCCATTTGTGGGAAAAAAGGGACGTAAATTTCATTTGGGTGCAGCGTTGCATGACTGCGCAATTGTCAATTAAAATAATGCAGCGCCATAACACAAAAAAATG